ACATATCTCTGTAATTTCGGAAAACATGAATGCGCTTTAAGGTACCCGTTATATGAACGTTTCTATGAATGATTCCATTTTCGAGTGCTTCTGCTTGTTTTTATATGACACGCGCGAGAGAAGAAAGTGTTTCGGAAATGATTAATTTCTGCCTCTCAATAATGAAAAATTTTGTTAATTCCAATAAAATACAGAATAATTACTACAATTATTTCTGACGCTATATTCTGTAAATATTAGCGTTTTGTCAAAAATTAAGAAAGTCGAATATTTATTTTATCAAAGCTTAAGAGAGTTATCTATTATATTATGACGGAATGCCGTTATTCAGTTAGTTTAGAAATCATTGTCATTCAAGAGTATAAGAATGAGCGAGAAGGACAAAAACGGGACGAGGAGAAGAACATGCTGTCGATACGCATTTAATTATCGCGCTATTATCCGATTAAACTGTTCGACTCGACTGGATTCGTCGAGCTTTTTTAAGCATCCATCCAATTGCTGGATTAATAAAATGACCTTCGCGTCCAATGTTTCAGAGAATTAAATCGATGAAGAGACATAGAGGCACGGTGCATCTGGAGTCACCGTTTAAGAGGATGGAAATTTTATTAGTCTTGACGTCAATATCGTAACCTTGTTATCGATGTTACACTGTTTACTGCCTCTCAATAATATCTTAAATGCTATATTTCAATACGACTTATTAAAGGTGTATAGAATGATATATGGTGATATCGATGATTTCATTTGTCATGTACAAATTATCTTTACAAATGCACTTCTCAAATATCTCATATTGTATTTATATATTACGTAGATTGTACAACAGCATTCTATGTCTTTTTCATTAACAATTTAGATTATCATTTCTTTCCTAAAAGACTACAGACTTTTTAGTCGAGTAAATTTTGAATGTACATTATATTCGTTGAAACATTTCAATTAATATTTATGAATTTATTATAATCTCTATGCATAATTATTATTCTTTTCCTATTATTATCGAATCTCAAAAGTTTCTTTATTGAACGTGACGTCTTGTACATAATTTGGAATAAATGCTGTGTATCTTAGAAAGTAAATTTCTCCAGTAATAAAATGTAATATCAATTTATCAAATCCTTTTACAGCATATAATTTACTTATCTTCATATTGTTTGGTGCAACAATAATATGGAAATGGCCATACGTTCGCAGTCTACTTGCGAATAAACCAATATGAGAAGAGAAATACTGCATATATCGTTCCGAGACAATGAATAACGATGTCATATTTCGTTCTGTAATTGAATTTTGCATTTATAAAGTTACACTCACGTAGACACGTATGCATACGTGAGAATGTCACGCTTTTATGTGCGCTTACGTTTACGCTCGCGAAGAGAACTTTGCCCTCGAGACATAAACCAGTTATATGAAGTCCATTCGTTCGGGATCTATCTCACTCTATCGTTGTAAACGACGTCTCGAGTATCGTAACATGGCGCGTATAACGAAAAATTGCAACGAGATTCGCCCGCATTGTCGTGGAGTTCCGAGGCGCACGACGGCACGCGAATTTATCGTTCCAGTGCAACTGGCGGACGTGGGAATAGAATGATACAGTATCGATTGTTATCGAAGAAATACTCGATAAAGATGTCTCCTCGTTGCCAACCGGCACACAAATATTTGTTTCCTATTTTCCTCGTACTATTACATAGCTGTGATCGATAAAAAAACTATTTGCATAAAATAAATTGCAAAATATTTCTTAGGTAATGCAGAAAAATACGTACATGGACGTGGACGATGTATTATTTTTCGTCATTACTTGGGAAATTAATAGTGCAGAGATACAGTGTATTGTTTAAAATAGATAAACAGATCCATTTCTTAAAAGTTCTGTCATCACGATTCTAATTATAAAATTTAATTTATTACAGTTGTATTTATTGTCCCTAGACTATACAGAAAGTACATAGAGGATTGTCATAAATCACTATATTCTGTTTATTTCGCAATAAAATGGAAATTAACTTAAAACAGAAATAAGGAAACCTCCGTGCGTAATAAATATGTAATTTATGTTTAAAACTCAAGTGGTGAAATTATCCGCAATCATATACGAAATAAATTGTTCTTTTTTTCATTAATAAACACAAGTAAACGCAGAAACAATGTCGTATTAAATCTTCAAGATGCTATAAAATCAAGAAACTCGTAAAACCACGCTTCATGGACCAATGCGGCGCTTCTCAACGTTATTGCGGGAATAGATCACGTAGCGGCCTTGATTCGCGGAAAATTCGCGGATCATCGAAAATTCCCACGGTAGATTTCGCGCGTGAGTGCAAGAGCAAGAGAAGACAAAACGAAAGATGTCGCGGAAGAAGGTTTCACTGCCGTTAATTGGTATCATCCGTGGCGCGATCAGACGGCGAGGTTTCACAAGTCATTGGAAACTTTTATGCGACCATTACTTTTTCCTGAACTAATTCGCGTGCGACACAAGGCAAAGTGTGCTATTAAATATGATGTTTAAAGCGTTCGCGATCGACGAAACTTTCAACCGTAACAGCTGTAAAAATTTTTTACGAGTTCCCTTTAGCGATAGGTTTTTTACGCCGGGCAGTTCAAAAGCAATTTTCAGATTCCTCTGTTCTTAAGTGATATACGAATACATATTTCAAAAGTATAATAATTTTTAGACGTCAGCAAGAAAACATATTAGTCGAAAGTTAAAATATTTATCAAATAATATTTAAACTAATTTTTAATTGCTTAACAAAACGGTTTAAAATGCATTCTAAATTAACATTATTATAAAAGAACTCACGAACATCGGCTAATTGTTCATATTAGTAGCTTGTAATGCTCTTATTCAATTATAAAATTCTAAATTAATATAAAATAAAGTGTAAATGTAAATTTCATTTGTGTAAATAATTAAATAAACCTGACTGTACTTATTTATTAGTAGTATAGTAGTCTTAACAGTTCCTTCAATAAAATACGTAATTAATGCTAACGCTATTCTCGCTCAGCGCGGATCTCTCGCGAATGATTCGTGCAGGAATTTCGTTACGTAGCGATTATGTAAATGTTTTTAAGACGCGCTCCTCTCCGAAACGCAAACGGCGCCTCTCGGAAATGCTTCGCGAAGGTGGTACATCAAGAAGAAGTTAGCTCCGCCTCGCAACCGCGCATAAAGCGCTTGCGAAACCGTGAAATTCGGAAATAGCGACTTTATTGCCGGAAAGTATTGTGATGTGTATAACGCAATACGCAGCGTTTTGATGGAATTGTTGCACAAGCAGTGATTTTACGAACAAACGAAACGTGTGGAAAATATATATGGAGTCAGAGTAAACGAAGCGATTGTAGTAGCCATTTCCTAAAAATTAAATTTTTAGTTAGATATATTCTTCTCGGGTATGTTCAGCAACGTACGCGGATTTAAAATTTAGACACACAAATATTTTGAGATTTACGTAAAATTATATTCTGAACAGATTAATCCAAAGCTCTGTGGAGCTTTACGCTTGAAATTACATTTCTAGAAAACCGCAGATTAGGGACTTCTAGTTTGCATTAGTATTTAACTGCAGACCCTTTATATTCTCCCTCGTAATAATTTCACAGATCGGACAGATGTTATTTTAATGAATCCAAATGGAGATATAATTTATTTGGCTTGGCTGATCAAATATTGATTAAATAAAATTAATTCCCAATGAAATTATGGGAAACTAATATAGATTCATAAGAATTAATCGAGCATGCCGTAAGCAAAAGCAGAGGTTCTTGTACATTGAGCTGTAACAAAAGGAAATGCCTAATTGCAATTGTTATCTGGGCAAAATTGTGGTCACGATCGAAAGAATTGGTCGTTAAATTTCTTTGAGATTGGGAAAACAGGATTAGCAAAATCGGCAGACTAATAGCGCGATTATGTAAATACGACGATCCGAAATATTACATCGTTTCGGATAATATCTTCCGGAAGTACTCGTTTTCTCTCGAGAAAGGTCAATGATCCCCAGAGATACCGTGTGGCATCGCGCGAATAAGGCTGTAAGCAGCGGTGGTGATGTGAGCCACGTCTGCCCTGCCCGAAAATCCGTAATTTGTAATCATTTTCGGAAAGGTCCCCCGGCTGCATTTATTCCGATCATAACCTGTCCGTCATCTCTCCGCATGGACACGTTCCGTTCACGGCGTCCTTGCTGCGCTCGCTCGCTCGCTTTGGTTCATGAATATTAATTCTGTACTCCCAAAATATAATGCCGTAACGCCTTTCTCGCTGAGAAAGAACGGTCGCGCGGATCGTTGCACTCGAAGAGCGAAACTCTTCTCGTCCCAACCCGGCAGTCTTCGCCCGATCTTCTGCTCCTTCCATCGTCTTCTTCTTTTTCATCCCGATCTCGCTTGGACGCCATCCTTTTAGCCGCTGGAGCGAGGATTTTTAGCGATATTTATGAACGATCTAAAGTAAGATCGCCTCGGGGATATTTTTTCGACTGCTTCTGATGTTTGCCGATATCAATTTAATTTATCGAATTAATGCAAGAACACGCCAATTAAGAAGAAAAATTATGCGTTCTTCTTAGCATTAACGCGCCCTTATTTTTGGAATTAGATAAAATTGAAGGCTACAAGCGTGTTTGTAATTAAATATTACGTTAATTATGAAAATGTGTTCCGAATTATAAATCTGTGAAGGCTTTGATCTTCAAAATACACGTGGTATCGGCGATGTCTAAGTCCCAGTCTACAATAGATGATTTAAGCCCTAAGCTTTAAGAAATTGGCCAATCACGGTCAAGTATGAGTAGAATGCGCGACTGTGATTAGTCAATTTCTTAAGGCTTAGGGCTTAAATCTCTATTGTAGACTGGGACTAAAGAAGAATATATTAAATCTAAAGAATTTCTTAAATCTCACCACAAGATTTAAGATTTGTGACATGCTGCAATTGCAATCTTAATATTTACTACATGTAGAGTTAATGCAATTCATAGAATATTGACGACTAATGGACACTCTGTTAAGATAAACTTTATTTGAAAATAAAGGACTCGTTGGATTTATGCATTTACATATTTACATTGAAACGATGCCAATGTGAGAAACAGTCGAAGAATAAGAGGACGCGGCACACTGTAAATACCTTAGGTTTAAAACATTAATTGCACGACCAATTTACAAAGCTTAGAGGAAGGGGACGTATACTGCCTATAAAACCGGTAATGGTAATACCGCTCCGCTAGTGAGCGCGATTTTGATAAGTGGTCTTTAACTCCACAGAGTCTATCTAATCTGCGATCTAATCTAAACGCGATATCTTCGCACGACAGACATTCGGTCTTTAGTCCGCCGTTTGACACAAGCCGGAAGATGGGAATGCGCGCGCACACACAGAGATTGCCATCCCGGTCGTGATCGTGGGTGTACCATCTCGTGCGGCGGCGCGTAGAATTATAAATTCGTTCCTTCATATGTACACGGCGTACCTCTGAAACAAATTCCAGCGCTCCATCGGGAATTACGGCGCCCCTCGTGAATGAAACTGGACACTGCCGACGTCGTCGTCATGCACGAGCGTTCGTGGCGGAATGCAACAAAGAGGTCCGTACAACTTGCTTGTAACTACGTGAGCCGGCTGACTGGAGCTGGAAAGATAGGTAGGTAGGTAGATAGGTAGGTAGGTAGGTAGGTGAGTTGGTATCCAGGGACCGTCTATCAGATGACTCTCAAGTCCCAAGCATGGAGTGGAATGATTCAGTGTCGAAATTGCAAAAATCGAGTTGGACGCTGCGAAATCCGAGGAATAAACGATCGGATAAAAATTGACAATTTAATCTAGCTCTCCTTTTCTCTTTTGTAATGTTAGAAGCAATTACAAAGCAATTTCTATTAATAATATAGCATATATTATTAGGTAATTTCTATATTAACTAATTTCTTCTACTCTTCGTAAAATATAAACATTATCTTGGCTTTTGTAATTGAAATTAGAGAATTATACAGGGTGTACTAAAACCACCGGATATCCTTTTAATCATAAATTCTTTGGAAACTTTCAAGACAAAAATTCTAATACAAAAATGTCGAGGCTATAATAGTTTTTAAATAATAAGCGATTACATTTCACAAATGACAGGCCTGACAATGAGA